AAGCTACCACGAACGTCAATACGTCACGTATATGTGACGCCTCTGATGAAGACGTGTGATGTAAATGATCTTGACAGGCGCAAACATCCAAACAGAGCATCGTCTTGTTGTTAGCTCTCCTCGTGGATATGTGCCGATGCCTTGGACGAAGTTCAGTGCGACGTCATTCAGTTGATATGCGATCTGTGTCGACACAAACGTACATTTCACCCTCGGCAGCGTGTCCGCGACCCACTCCACACAGACGTCTGCTAGCTGTGAGGCCTCAATCAGCGCCATTGCAAGAGGAGGAGGAAGGGGAGGGAGCGGACGTTGTGGAGAGAGTGGCAACTGAAGAGGCCGTGAAGCCCTGGCGCCATCAACATTTACTAACCCCACCTGTCACCTCTACTGCCATCTCTGCCACCGGTTCGTGTTGCCGTTTCTGTGTGCATTCACAACGCCAGTTGTCGTCCGCAAATTCTTCACGTTCCTCATCAGTATTTGTATTTGGCGAAGACCTACTTGGTAAGAACTTCGATTTCAAGCGATATTACTTCGTCCTACTTTGCAATTACTTGGAAAATGAGTGTAAGCTCCAGCGCTGAGTCACCTTTGAAGGTGCAGAAGGACTGGAAAACACAAAGCACTAACAATAGGTCATTGAACCTGAGGAATTCACCGCAACACTCAAGACCGAAGATCTTCTCAGTTGAGGATTGTAATAGTTTCATTGCATTACTCTCTACCTCTGATTCTGAGTCACCTCATAGCTATTGCACCTCCTAGGGAGGTGAGCCTCTGCGAATTCAGTCGAAGTTTCTAAGTACCCCAAAGCTGGCTAATTTGACAGGTGGAAGTACGAATAGGGAATGTCTTACTTGCCACTCGCTCCTTTTATCATGGTTGGCTCCACGACATCGCAAGAACGAGTGCATTCGTTAAAAACGATTGTGTGGTCGAAATGGAGTTTTTGAGCAGTCTAGTATGTTTTTCTTCCCATTCACTGGAATTTTTTTTATTCATGGGAGTCCATGACGTCAAGGTCATCCGAATTAGAGTTTGTTTGAATCGACTTTAACGCTTTAATGTGACCCCACAAAAATATTAGTTTGTAAGCATAGTTTTGGAAATCTGAAGGCCATAAGAAGTCGGAAGCTGAATCTCAGCCTTCTGACCACCCTACGCGGGTAAATTTGTCATCAAAGCAAACATTGAGTCATTGCCAGACGGTGGTAGGTAGGTGGGTGGACACTTCAAAGTGTCATGAAGATCTTACTACCAACTCATGCCCATGGCTATTGCATGGTCAAATCATTTGTTGTTCGTTGCACTGTAGCAGTCTGAGTCCTCCCCTAAAGGCGTAACAAAGGAAGCCGGCAGGAAATATTTCATGCTTAGCTGGCAGAAGGACCGAGAAGCCAAGTTAGCTTTCCTTCCAAAAGCGATCGCGTTTGGCAAAACTGCATATTTTAAAGCGTGCTAATAGCAAATACAGCTAAATGCCAGAAGAGCACAAATTCCTGAATTCTATCCTATCTGTTCTTCCACAAATGAGGATGTGGGTGAATGGAGTAATGAATGCCTCTTCTTAATTGCGTTCACTTATTCTCCAGCTCTGATCGCTACCTGAATCGTGGATTAAAATTTTCCCTCAAAGCTATTACTCTTTGAATCTATTATTTTTCCAAACTTTAGACAACAGTTACTCCAGCTACTTGCCATAGGCTGACAATTAGCTTGATACTGCGTTCGACAACAATTATTCTTAAGAGCAG